TCATGCACGGGTGGAAGTCTGTCTAAGACGAGGATTTCATGCGGAATTGAATGTCACAAATTGGAAACAGGATTCAGTGAGAACCAGAATTGATGAGCACAATCCATAATATCTAAACTTTATCCAATACTGGGAATGGCCGCTGCTGACTCCAGCATTTTAAACTCAAGAGTTTTGTGCCAACTCATAACTCCCTGACAGACGCTGGGACAACCCTCCTTCCTTTGCTCGCTTGCCCCGTTCCGGAAAAGTCCATCATCTCTTTCCTGGTTCGGTTAAGCCCCCTGTTCCAAGCAGAGATCCTTTGATAAGCCTGAGTCAGTGGGGATCTTTTTTAACCGCTCTGCAGAGGTGAACACTCGGGTCAAGTGCTCATCTTAGAACGGCCCCTTATGTGGGGTTTTTTTTCTACACAAAGACAGAAATTTTTCATGAATGAACTTTCATAAAGAACGTTGGAGGCACATCGCTCACTTCTGATAAGCAGAAATCAACATTTTCACAATAAGAGACGAACTGAAGCGCTTGTATGATGCAGAACGACAAAGCATTTCAAGCTCAGCGGTCGGCTTCACGCAGCCTTTTTATGGCCAACGTGTGAAAGGCAGATGGTCACTTACTTTGCTTTCTAATATAAAATCTTGTCAGCCCAACTATGTTGCAGTAATCATAAGCATTCTCTAATGCTAACATGAGGCGAACACATCCCGTGTGATCTGTAAAGGCCCTGGTAAGCTTCAAATAAACAAGGTCGTACCAAGTGTTGTCTGAAGGCAGAAGTTTGGCCTAAAGCCTGCTGTCACAGAGAGGGGAGGGGTCGGGGGATGGAGAATGACTTGTGGAAAGACATTCATGTTGATTCATTGAATTATACACACAGTAAGAGACAGAAGTAGTTTAAAGAACGAAAATAGCCCTACATGGCCAATGAAAATGAATATTCCACTAATAATCCCGTTTACATGCAGCCGTGCAGATTCCAATTAACATTTAATGACCCCATGCCGCATCCTCACCACCGGGGCCAGTGAATCTCATGTTGACGCAATTCTCGACTGTTTGGCGGGTCGATGCCCTAACGTAAAAGTTGCCCCGCAGGATCCGCTTGTGCCGTTTTGCATCAAGTTTCTTTGCATCAAGTTTTCCATCAGGGGCTGACTAGTTGGACCGTGTGAACTCAGCCTCCCTCTTTCATTTCTATCAACCACCCTCTTGAAAAGGTCTGCGTTGAGATATTTGCGCTCATCCAAAAACCTGTTTATATCCGACTTCTTCCTAATGTTTAAAAGTAGGTTTGTTTCTCCTTCCGACCAGAAATGCAGGCTTTTCTTTTTGGACATCTCTACTTCAGATCTGCAAACTTTTGCCTAGTTGGTTTGTGTACAACAGAGCTGGTCGTAAACGGGAAAGAGGCAGTGTGTCTTAAAAGCCCCAATTGAGATGCATGTTCTTAATGAGCTGTATATGGCCAAAGAATGCTCCTAAACCCCGAATAATACCGGCATATCCCACATGTTTTAATCGGAAATATTGTTATATTCTGAAGAATAGTGGAATATGAGTATGCGTAGTTAATGTTAGCATTTAATAAAGTCACCATGTCAGAGCTGAAACCAGACTGCTGGGCTTTTATTGACCCTAATGTCACAATTGGCAAAAAAGAACGAATACCAAGCATGTGTGATACGGACCGTACTTGCACAACACAGGGTTGCGTTGCTCTCAAAAAACGTCAGCAGTCGACCTTTTCACAGCATGGCTGCGACGAGGCCTCGTCAAACATGTGTTCTGACAGTTTGACTTGTACCCATCCCTTCTGTGAATTAATACCCGACCTTTACTCGGGTAAATGTCCTAAATCCTCTGTTCTGACTGACAGTCCTGCAAATGAAAAACCTGTACCGCCGTCAGTCAACCTGCTGCGAACGTTGACCCCAATAAAACAGCAGTGAACTATGAGATTTATGGTTTCCACAAACTGTTTTTACGCGTGTGTGTTGGGCTAAAAATAGCCAGCAGTCCTCTTGTTTGTGTGCATGGCATCACTCACGGTTTAATCAAAACACTTGTCCATAGGGGCCACGGTCCAACTAAAGTATATGCCTGCTTCCAGCGTTTTTATCCTGACACGCACAGGAAAGTCGGTGACCCTGGACATGTGATTATTGAAACGGAAACAGCGGTGTACCTTTTTGCTTTGCTGTGTAAACACAACCATGCCGGGCTTTAAGTAAAAAGAAGAGCACCATTGTTGTGACATGGACATCGTACATGACAAGGTCATAGCCCAACCCCATTCATAGAGGGTCAAAGTCTCCGTTTATACCATGCAGCTTAGTACTGATTATCTCAGCTATTTTTAGATTTTGTCTTAGTTCTGAGGTCAGAAGTCCACACAAGTATTAGTCACATTTAGGCAACTTCTTCTCGGTTTGTCGTCCTTTTTTTAGTCGTCAAAAACAAAGAAAAGTTATTTACCTTGAATACATAGAACCAAGCACCAAGCATTCTATGAATCCTTCCATTTTCAGAGTTAAAGATTCAATGTTTTATTTTTAAGTCCTTTTTGTCGTTAACGATATTATACGATCAGTTTTTGTTTGAAGTCTGCTTATCTCGTCAACGTCTTGTGTTCGTCATAGAAGTAAAGCTGCTCACTAGTTTCTTCAACACAATTTGCTCACAATCGTCGTTATTCATTACATGCTAACATGCTAACAGTCAAAACTGAAGTAACGTTCTCAAAACTCTTCACACAGAAACAGAAGTTTGTTGACCAAACTCTGCATTTTGTGTAAATACAATATTAAAAAAAACAAAAAAAAAAAACGATTCATTCAATGATCACATTTTCCAAAGATCCATGAACTCTGTTCTAGTTCGTACTCCACCAACCGCAAACCACTTTATATTTGCAGCACATTTTTCAATTGTCAACACACACGGTTTTCAAAACCGAATGATGGTAAATGTCATGCATTTCTGCAGTTTCTGTATTGAAATAAAATTAACTAATAATCGTTCCACAGCTGATTAAAACCTCAGCTGAAAGCCTACCCAGGGTTCCTGTTGTTAGTCTCGTTACCAAACGGACGGCTTTACAATGATTTAGTTTGAAAACATGAATCAAGGAGGACAGGTTGGTCGGGACAGACGAGTGGAAGGGAGAGAGACTGTGTGGAGGACAAAAGAGAGGAAGACCAAGAGCGGTGGTCTCTGATGAGATAAGAGACACAATGATTGAGCTTGTTGTAAACCACGGACTCCTTTTGAGAGAAGTGGAATTTCAGGAATTTTGTCTTTTGTTTCAAGTAAATCACTATATGAAAAGATATAGAAAAAATAAAGGATACTGTTGCAAATTAATGCATTTCGGATTAATTATTGTTACGTCTACTTTAGTACAGTCATTAAAGTAAAAAGGTGTTATTCCTCTTCTATAGTGAAATACTGATGTATGTGAAACTCGGGTGACAAACTCCGGTTCTGCAGAGTGAAGCCGATGCGTAAGTTTGTTAAAACCTGCATTCTCTCTAGTGTCCACCAGGGGGCGACTCCTCTGATTGTATAGAAGTCTATGAGAAAATGACTCTAAAGAAAAGATTTGGAAGCTTGTGCGTCATAAGATTTATAAATGAGAAAACATCGTCGCTGAGACGTGTAAGTGCAGCTAAAACATTACTGCCTATTCTTCTCCCCGTGTCCCCTTCAGCTGCACCACAGGGTCACGGCTGTAATCTAGTTCAGATATACTGTTTTTAGAAATGTGTCTGCAGACAAAGGAGGTGCAGAACAGTGTGAGCTGAAACAGACCCTCAGGCTGCAGGAGGCTCTGCGGTTACTTGGTTGTTTTTAATACTAATAGCCAACTTTTGGGCATCAGCAAATTCAAAATCAGCCTCGCTGACCCCGATTGACCCGGTGAGGCGGGTTTGCTGTCTCGTTAAAGGCAACCAAGAGGAAATCGGTATCGCCCCCCCACCTTTCCTGTCCACCACCCAGGAGCATCATGGGAAACGGGGGAGCCGGTGTCTGGGCAGCGTACAAAACTTCCTGTCTCATGTATCGCTGACTTGACGTATTTTTGTGTGTGTGTGTGTGTGTGTGTGTGTGTGTGTGTGTTTTAAGAATATGTATGTTTGTGAGAATTGGGGTTGTTATGTCACAGTTAAGTGTGTGTGTGTGTGTGTGTGTGCGTTTGTGTGTGTTTCTTTTTCAATTTATTCTCTTACTGACCTCTGACCTTTAGGATTGTCCAGAAGTCCTCCCAGGCGGCAACCTCCGGTTCTGCCGAGTGAAGTCGGTGCAGAAGTGTCTTCAAGCTGCATTCTCTCTAGTGTCCACCAGGGGGCGACTCCTCTGGTTGTATAGAAGTCTATGAGAAAATGACTCTACTTCTCTCTTGATTTATTACCTCAGTAAACATTGTAAACATGAGTTTATGGTCTCAATCTCTAGTTTCAAGTCTTCTTCAATACAGCATGATGTTCATTTAGTACATTATGGTCCATTTAGAGTCAAACAGACCATAAAGCAGGGGATGCTTTAGGGCGGGGCTACAAGGTGATTGACAGGTCTCTACCAGAGATGCGGTGTCTCTACGTCACTCCTCCACAGTCCAAATATGGTCACTTCCTGTTCATTGGTTGCAAAAAAACAAGATGGTGACTGCAAAATTGCCAAACTCAAAGCTTCGAAACATCCACAAACCAACGGGTGACGTCATGATGACTATGTCCACTTCTTATATAAAGTGTATTTGATTAGAGAAGAAGCTGCAGAACCAGTGATATGTTTGATGCACTTTTTGGAAGTGTGTGTGTGTGTGTGTGTGTGTGTGTGTGTGTGTGTGTGTGTGTG